TACGTTTTTGCTCTGTCACTTAGGCTGAAGTGCAGTGGCATGAACCGTGGCTCACTGCAGCCTCAACCTCCTGGGCTCAAGTGATCCTCTTGCCGCAGACCCCAGGTAGCTGGGACTATAAGTGCACACTACTATGCCAAGCTAATTTTTGTTTTTTTATTAGAGATGAGGTTTTGCCATGTTGCTAAGGCTGGTCTTGACCTCCTGAGCTCAGGCAGTCCACCCACCTCAGCCTCCCAAAGTGTTGGGAATATAAGTGTTGAGCCACTGTGCCCAGCCCACACTCTTAATATAAAAGAAAACAGTGCAGGAATGTATTGGTTAAACACCTGTTTGAAACCTATTGTATTAGTCTGTTCTCACGCTACTATAAGGACATACCTGAGACTGGGTAATTTATAAAGAAAAGAGTTTTACTTGACTCACAGTTACCCATGGCTGGAGAGGCCTCAGGAAACTTACAATCATGTCAGAAGGGAAGCAAACACATCCTTCACATGGCAGCAGGAAGAAGAAGAATGAGAACTGAGCGAAGGGGAAAGACCTTTATAAAACCATCAGATCTCATGAGAATGTACTATCACAAGAGTAGTATGGGAGAAACTGCCCCCATGATTCAATTACCTTCCACCGGTTCCCTCCCACGACACATGGGGATTATAGGAACTACAAATGAAGATGAGATTTGGGTGGGGACACAGCCAAACCATATCACCTATCATGAAAGCAGAGAGCAAGAAGTGAAGGTGGGAAGTAGTAATAGAGGTTGATATAATTTCTCAGGATCCCACTTACCTCTCAGTATCTCTCCTCATTTTAAGGATGTTGTTATAAGCATGAGACTTAAAGAATAAACATGGCTCTAAAAGACAAGTTGATTTTAAGTGACTATGATATTGGGGATTTTACAATGAACAGGACAGGTATGGCCCCTGGCCTGCTGGAGCCTGCAGTCCATGGGGGGAAACAGAATTGTAAATCAAAAGTAAACCATAAAGATGGTTTCAGATGAGTGCTTGGAAGGAAATGAGTAGACTGATGTGATAACAGCAGTGTTGGGAGATAGGTTGTGAGACAGGGCCTCTCTCAGATGACATTGAAGGAGAAGAGGGAACCAGTTGTCTCAGGAGCTGGGAGGAGAGGACTTCAGACAGAGGGCACAGCACATACCAGGAGCCTAAGGTGGGAGAGGACTTGTCAGGTTCTAGAGGAAGAAGAGAGAGCTTGTGGCTGGAGCTCAGAGATCTGAGAAGAGCGATATGAGAGGGAGGGTGGAGGCAGGGCAGAGTCATGCTGGGCCTTTTAGGCTGCAAAGAGAAGTTTAGATTTTATTTTGTGTGTAGTGGGAAGCCACTGAAGAGCATTGTTACTACGGGGACAGGACCTTAGATTTTAAAGAGATCACATTGGATTCCATGTAGAGAGAATGGATTGAAGGGTCCAGCAGTAGAGAGGATGCAAACAGCAGATAGTGTCCTGGACTCAGATGGAGCCAGGGGATGGAGAGAGAGGACCAATTCGAGGTCTTTTTTTTT